TTCTAACTGCCAACCTTTTGGCTATGTATTAAATTAAGATTAAGTCGTTACAATTGGTGATATGGGAATTTATGGAAGAAATAAAAGTCATGATCTGAAATAAGTTTCTCCCGCATTTTATAGTTTAAGTGATTTCAATACAGGAATAGATAAAACTCTGTTTTTCAATGTCTAAAGTTGCCTTTATAGATTAAAATACTTGACTAAAAATTGAAAAGTCTAAGCACATGTTTATTATCATTGTCTCCAAAAGAACTCTGACTGATTTTTTAAAATTACACTTATTGGATAGTTTTCAAATAGTATAACCTTAAGGTCAAAACTCTGTCTCCTCTGTCTTCTGAAACTGCAGAAGGTTTTAGTCATTAGCAGCATTCAGTAGCAGTACATATAATATCCTTTACTGACACTAAATTTTTTTTTACATTTTTTAATTTTTTCCCATACAAACATTTATACATACATTGTTATGTGACTCTAATTGCTCTCCCCGTACTGTGACAGCACACTCCTCCTTTCCACCCCTGATTCCCCATGTCCATTCAACCAGCTCCTAACCCTCTCTGCCTTCCCATCTCACCTCTGGACAGAAGCTGCCCATTTGGTCTCTTGTATTTACTTGAGCTAGAGGCACACTCCTCACGAGTATCACTTCATGTCCCACAGTCCAGTCCAATCCCTGTCTGAAGAGTTGGCCTCGGAAACTGTTTTAGTTCTGGGCTGACAGAGAATCCAGGGGCCATGCTTTCTGGGGTTCCTCTAGTATCAGTCAGACCATTAAGTCTGGTCTTCTTACTAGAATTTGAGTTTTGCACCCCACCTTTCTCCTGCTCCATCAGGGACTCTCTGTTGTGTTCTCTGGCAGGGTGTGGTACCCGGGCACCATCTAGTTCTTCTGGTCTCAGGCTGATGGAGTCTCTGATTTCTGTGGCCCTTTCTGTCTCTTGGGCTAATACTTTTGTGTATTGACACTAAATTTAAATTTCCAAACCACTATTGAACTCTTACCCATCATCATCAATATCGTGAGTATCCATTCCTTTAGTCCACTAAAGAATAGAGTGATTTTACATTGGTGCGTGCATGTATTTGAGGAATTGTAGTTCTATATATCTGTTCTCTATTTGGATTGTATGTGAAATGTGATGTACTAGAGAAATACAATGCTTTGTACTTTCAATTATCTTCAGTAACTCAGCTGGTTGACATTTATTACCCCAAGCGCAGTTATTACCACTGAAATCTCTGCAGAGCTTAGAAGGTTTTTGATACTTAATATCTTGGATTCAAACTACTATTAAAAAAAAAATACCAAAAACCAAACCCATTGCCACAGAGTCAATTCTGACTCATAGCACCCTACAGGACAGAGTAGACCTGCCCGATAGGGTTTCCAAGGAGTGGCTGGTAGATTCGACTGGCGGCCGAACACTTAACCACTGCACCACCAGAGCACCTAAACTACTATAATCGTCCATTATTTCTTTGTTCTTGTCTCTTCCTTATCAAATCTACCTTCTGAACTCGGATAAAAGTGATCTCACACAACAGGAAACAAACAAAAATGTAAATTACCTACCTAAAAATCTCCCAAGTACCTCAGTGTTTGTGATATAAAATGTAAATTTCTTTGGTAACATGAAAGACCCAATGAATCTATCTACGTCCTAATACACCAGGCATGCTTCTGCCTCAAATCCTTTGCTCTTGCTATTTCCTGTTTCCTCTGCCTGGAACACTCTTCCCAAGTCATTCACTTGCCTCAATTCTTCATCTCCTTAGTTCTTTACACAGCTGTCACCTTCTGCTGTTTCTGTCCACTGCATTTCAAATCACAACCCAACTCCTAGACTCCCTATTCTGTAGGGAGAGCCTAAGTCTATTAACAAACACACACACACACACATACACATCACCATCACCTCCACCAGATTATAAACTTCTTGTGGCAGAATATCTAGTATCTGGCATATAATATGTGCTCAATAAATATTTGTTGAATGAATGATGAAAAAATGAATAATTATCATGCCTGATAGCTTAATGTTTTTAACTTAAACATTGTGTTCCCCAAATCATAAAGTCTTTGCTTACACAAACATGCCATGTTCTCTCATGTCTTGAATGACTTGCCCGTGTCCTTCATATTATCTAACTCCATTCCATCTCGTTAACACAGAATTTATTCATTATTTAACAAATATATGTCAGATGTCTGTTATGTGTTAGGCATAGTGCCCGACACTAGGAATACATGGTGACACAAACGATTAAGCGCTCAGATGCTAACCAAAAGGTTGGCGGTTCCTGTTCACCCAGAGTCACCTCGAAAGAAAAGCTGACAATCTACTTCCAGAAAATCAGCCACTGAAACCTGTATGGAGCACAGTTCTACTCTGATGTGCATAGGGTGACCGTGAGTCAGAATCAACTTAACAGCAACTGGTGGTTTAATGTTAAGAAAGAGCCAGTCCTTGCAGAGATCCAGGATAAGAGCTCTACAGGGTTTTTAAAAACAGTTTTTTTGTTGTTGTTATTCATATGGAAACGTTCCTGCTCTTGTGAGGCTGCTGTACTATTAAAGAGATAATAGATCTTAAACATGTGAAAAGATAAACAAGTCAATTGTTGACTGCAATGACTACTATAAAGTATAGAAAGTAAATGGGGGATGTGAAGACAGAAATTTACATGGAGGCCCAAGGAGGCTTCTTTTTGGAGGAACAGACATTGAAGCTAAGACCTGAAAGTTGAGAAAGAAGCAGTCTTGCAAGGAAGATGGAATTTATGTCCCAGGGAAAGGAGAGAGCATGTTCAAAAAGTCCAGAGGCACCCAATCACAGCCTTGTGATTGAACTGTAGTAAAAAGGATGTTATGAAATAAGCTTGGAAAGGTAAGTAGGAACTGGAACAACTATAGCCTTATAGGTTATCACGAGTTTGAGTTTCATTCTAAGAGAGAAGCGATTGGAAAGTTGTAAATAGGAAAGTGGTATAATAAGATTTACATTAAAACACAATTCTGAGTGCTGTGAGAGTCAATTTTAGGGCTATAATAGTAGAAACTGGAAGACCAGTTAGGACACTTTTGCAGTAGCCCTGATGAGAAATGTTGGCAAGCCTGAACAAAAGGAGAAGAGTTGGAAAGAAGTGGATGAATTAGAAACTGCATTTTGAATGTGTAGTATGGGGTGGGGTGGAGGGATAAGAAAAATGGAGGTATTAAGAATATATCCTAGTTTCTTTATTGAGTTGCTATGTACGATGGTGCTTTTTACCAAAATACAAAAACAGAGGGTGGCTCAGGTTTTCAAACACCTCCTCTGAGTAACTTTCATGATCCCTCAGGAAGACTTAATCAAATCTTCCTCTGCGCCCACACTTTACCTTTGCAGTGAGCCAAGAATGAAAAATGAGCTCATACAGGACTATAAGTTCTCAGCAAATAATTGACATTACACAGTGGTGAGACCACAAGTGGTATTACGTACACAGTAATTAGGACAAAGGGTAGAACATCTCAGACTGGTTCCCCCACCATAGGTCCTCCTCCCAGGGTGAGATGAAAAGGAAAAAAAGCTCTCCTACGCACACATCACCTCTTGCTGCATCACAGGGGAAGGAACAAAAGGACAAAGGGACCCAGGGCTTATATACCTCTGACCAGAAGGGTTTACATGCTGGGTCGCATTGGAGAAGTGGGAATAAGGGGAACAGGGAGGAGGCCCTCGATGCTGTCTGGGCTCAGAGTGCTTGATGGTCATGTGGTCATTATCCCCAGCCTTGATGGTGTCAAAAAAAGAACATTCCTTCCCCTTTTTCCATCTAAGATCAGATTTTGCCAGCATGCTGTTATATAATTAGGTATATACCATATCACTAAGGCACTAGAGGGAAGGAGCCTACTTCCCCTAGGGTACATTCTTTCGTTACAGTTTCAGTATAAGGTCATGCAGGCAGTGGGGGGGGGGAGGGACTGCTTTGCTGCCTCTGCAACCTTGTATATTGAAATATTTAGTACATAGTATTATAATAATTCATGTTTTTCTTTCAACCAGACAGCAAGCTTTTTGATACAGTGACCCAATCTTTTCATCTTTGTTGTCAGTAGGCTTAGCACAGTGTCTAGTATACAGTATGCAAACAACAGTTGTTTGAATGAGTGAATGAATGAATTAATGTAGAAAGAGGTAAGGACAAGCAAGAATCATAGTATCAGAACTACAGTAGCTTCCAATCTTCTTGCAGGTTCTGTTAACTCCAGCAGAGTATGTGTAGACCAGCATCTAACTTACCAATGGCTAATAAATTTTTAAGCTAATTCGAATTCCCCAGTTGTTCAAAGTCAGTGTTGAATTATTTCATTCTAGTCTGCGTGATGAAACCCTGGTGATGTAGTGGTTAAAAGTTATGGCTGCTAACCAAAAGGGTGGCAGTTTGAATCCACCAGGAGCTCCCTAGAAACCCTATGGGGCAGACCTACTCTGTCCTGTAGGGTTGCTATGAGTCGGAATCCACTCGACGGCAACGGGTTGGTTTTTGGTTTTGGTTTTAGTCTGCGTGATGGAGCCCTGGTGGCACAGTGGTTAAGCACTAGGCTGCTAAGCAAAAGGTTAGCAGTTTAAACCCACCGGCTGCTCCACAAGAAAAATATGTGACAGTCTGCTTCCCTAAAGATTTACAACCTTGGGAACTATGGGGAAGTTCTACTCTTTCTTACAGGGTCACTATGGGTCAGAATTGACTCAAGGACAACAGGTTTGGTTTTTAGTTTTCAGTCTGCATGTAAAAACATAAAATAAAATGACAAAGATTTTCTTTTTTTGTAGTCCTTGAGCTGCAAGTTGGTCAAATAAAATTTATTTTATAATCAATAAAAATCAAATGAATCCCTTTTAAAGATACAGTGGTATCTATCTATAACTTTAAACCTTAGTATCAATGCACATTTTAGAGGGTATTTATAAGATTCAGTACTCTTCTGTTGTTTTCTTTTAAAGGATGTTTGATGTAGGTGGGCAGCGATCAGAGAGAAAGAAATGGATTCACTGCTTTGAAGGAGTGACGTGCATTATATTTTGTGCCTCACTCAGTGCCTATGACATGGTCCTAGTGGAAGATGAAGAAGTGGTAAGTCTAAAAGTAAAAATCCAACATTTGTGCTTTCCAGTAGCACTACCACATCTCCCAGCTCAATGAAGACCATCCATAGATGGATGTTATATTTAGATCCTTGGTTATGATGCCTAACACTAATATTTTACAAATAATAACCCTACATATTCTCATTTTGTATACCTAACAGAACAGAATGCATGAAAGCCTTCATCTGTTCAATAGTATCTGTAATCACAAGTATTTTTCAACCACCTCCATTGTCCTCTTTCTCAATAAAAAGGATCTCTTTCAAGAAAAAGTAACCAAGGTACCTCTTAGTGTCTGCTTTCCAGAGTACACTGGTAAGATTCTTTCTCTTAAACTCCATAATTATAACTTGTTTTATAAATATATATTTTCCTGTCTGGATCTGATATTCAATACTTAGGAGGATGAGGCTTATGATAATTTTTTGAGTCGTTTGTACAATCCAGAGTCGAAAGAATTTATAAATAACCAGGAACATTTTATACACTGTTTCCATTAAAGCAAAGCCCTAATGAATAAACAAGGCAGAGATAGAGTTGCTATTCTATATATTAAATGGCACTGAAAGATGTATTATCTTCAACATTATAACAGAAATACAAGTTACACAGAAGGATTGTTTTAATTTAAGTGACAACTTCTTTTTTTTAATTTTTTTATTGTCCGTAGTTGGATGCTGTGTTGTTAACGAAATTATGTAATATGAAAATATTTATGATTTAACACAAATACAAATCAAATTTCCCCACTCAGGTAGATGAGGTAGCCCAGATGTTACTAGGAACATAGCATTATGTCAAAATAGATATTTATGTCAGTTAATCTATAATTAATGTTTATATATTTCTCCTATAATATCAATATTATTTATTATATACTCAAATTTATTTAACATATGATTAAATATAAGCATGTTTTAAAACTGGATATTACAAATTAAATATAGATTCATAATTTAGGGCAATATAGTTCTAAAGATGTTATCTCATAGAATTTTCCTCCTAGTTATAGCAAAATGGGGTGCGGGGGAAGCATATATCCTTGGAAAATCTTTATACTACTGCTCTACCCTGTGTCAAGTTTCCACTAAGCATATTCTCCTGGAAGCCAATCAACAGGTCATTTTTGAGCTGTATTGTATTTTTTGGCCTACTTACTTTCTTTGTGCCTTTTTCCCAATTGATCCATTGTGTGTCCTACTACAAGATTAAACTTTCTCAAGCATAGCCTTCACCATTTTACCGCTCGGATAAAACTTCAATCAGGAAAAACTCTAGACAACTTTCCATATCTCATCTTAGATCCTTTGGCAACATGGTCCATAACTGGCTGATTCCATCTATTCTACTTGATTTTCTCCGGTTCCCCTACAAAAATCTTTCATTTCCATCCTGCCTATTCCTCCAAAGCTCACACCCACTTCCCAACCCTATCCTCAAGTCTACTGGTACAAACACTCCCACTTTTTGTTCTCACTCGTACTATTTCTCCTCTCTTTTTCATATATCTTTCAAGATCTCACTCAAATATCACCTTCTAAAGCCTAGTCAGGAGCCCTGGTAGCTCAGTGGTTAAGCAGTTGGTTGCTAACCAAAAGGTCAGCAGTTCGAACTCACCAGCCTCTACGCAGGAAAAAGATACGGCAGTCTGCTTCTGTAAAGATTTACAGCCTTGGAAACCCTATGAGGCAGTTCTGCTCTGGCTTATCAGAGTCACTGAGTCAGAATAGACTCCACAACGGGTTTTGGTTTTTTTTTATTAAAGGCTATTCATCTATAAGGAGTACTGATACCATAGTGGTTAAGAGCTACAGCTGCTAACCAAAAGGTGAACAGTTCGAATCCATCAGCTGCTCCTTGGAAACCCTATGGGGCAATTATAATCTGTCCTATAGGGTCGCTATGAGTCCGAATTGACTCGACAGCAATGGTTTCCTTTTTTTTTTTTTTAATTCATCTATAATATCCATTATCTTCCTCTTTCAGTTCATATTAAAACACATATACAGCTACAAACATTGTGAGCATCTGACATATATACAGACTTGTGTAACTCATAGTATGTTGTTTTATAAATATGTTAGTATCTGAACTGTATTGTAAGTTTTTTGAGGCAGAGGTCACATCTTAGCCATCAGAAATTTCAGTAGGGTAAGTATAGTTTTCAGCACAATGTAGATGACACATAATTTCCTAATAATTGACCCTTGCCACTTTGATTTTGCATACTAGTACATTAACAGCAGCACACAAAGTATAAGACTCTAAATCTTTAAAATTTACTGGTAATATTTATGGTTTTATTCTCTGTAAAACACAATTAATGTTTACTTCTTTAAATCTTTTATTTAACCAGGGCCAAATACATTTGAAGATGCAGGGAACTACATCAAGAACCAATTTCTAGACCTGAATTTAAAAAAAGAAGATAAGGAAATTTATTCCCACATGACCTGTGCTACTGATACCCAAAATGTCAAGTTTGTGTTTGATGCAGTTACAGATATAATAATCAAAGAAAATCTGAAAGATTGTGGGCTTTTCTAATCAATGCATTTCTTTTCCACTCTTGCTTATATATGCTTTCCAAGATATAGAAGAAAAAGTGCCAGGTGATATGTTTAGTTTGAATAGCTATTAACAGATGTAGACATATAACTATGATTATAAAGAGTTTTCACCTGAAGTCTTCAATGTATTGTCATCTATACCTGAATAAGTTTCAATTTTTCTTTAACATTAGTAAAGTTTAACGTAACAGTAAAGGAGTGTCTTTGATGCCTTCAGGTATAAAAACTGATACATTTTGGTAACTCTGGAACAGTACCTACCAATGACACTGAACTTCCTTGAAAGTAAACTTCTGCATTATGACCTATTTTTAATCATAGAAGAATGAAAAATTTAAGGTTTTCCATATTATTTCCACCCACCAGATTTTAAAGGCATTCATTTTTACTGATAATGTAATCATGCCTGTACTGCAGAGACTATTCAAAAATGGAACACAGGCATTTTATTGATCAATCACCTCTGTATTTAGCCAACTGTAAATAACATGTTTACTATACATAATTATGTTCATGAGCAATTAATACACATGCAAAAGAAATGCATACAATTTTACCTGCTGTATGTTTTTCCTTTAAAAAATTTATTGATTCTGAATTTACCAGTGTAGTTGAGGATTTCAGTAATATATCTGTTTTTGTACCATCCTGGTTCAAGAGAGAGGAACATTCAAAATTTGCTCTGATTAGAGATTCGTTAAGGTATTTGTAACCTAGGGAATTTCAAAACTTTTCCATTAGTTGAGTTTCTCAGCAGTCAAGGATGCTTATAACTCAGCCATAGCAGCCATGTGTAGGTAGGTAAGTGGACCACCCAACCCTGGAGAGAATAATCCCCATCTCTTTCCCCAACCTCTGCTGGTTTATCTTGTACGGTCAAGTACAGCTGTGCAGGTTGAACAAGAGTCCTCAATGGAATACCCATTTCCCATATTTTATTTTAGAGTAGCATGAAACATGATTGCAACTGATGATAATATGGGCTACTGGCTTTAGACTGCAAAACAGAGAAATTATTTGATGTCTTCACACTAGTAGGTCTGTTAGTACTCTATGGTCTATTCTAAATCTTAGACTGCATGCTAATGGTTAAAGCCTACTTTTTAAAAGCTAATTTGGTGCCTTACAGACCTAATCATATTATTTATGAACAGAAAAGAGATTTTATTTCTTTTTTAAAGTGTATACCATTAGAAAAATATACTCTTCAAACATGTCTCAATATTGTTTATTCTGTACACTTGTAGAAGGTGACATATAGGTCAGAATATTAGATGAGTGCATGAGATTTATAACTACTCTGAAAAGAGTAAATTATGTTTTAACAAGCTAAATGAGATGAAGGGAACATAAATTAAGCAATTTGTAATCTGTACTTCAGGTAGCGTTAGGTAGCTCTGTCCCTCAGTGTTGCTACTTCATTGTTCTGTACCACCTTCCCACAGTAAACATATAAGAGTGATTGTCATAACTCAATAAGCAACCTTGACTAGACTGCCTGTGGCTTTATTTTCAAAAACAGAGGCAGTATCAGCAAATACAGTCAAACAAAAATATATTTAGAAAATTTAATTTGGCTTTTCTTTGCAGAATATAAATTATTAAAGCACCTAAGATACCAAGAACAAGAAAGCATAAGAAATCATTTAGTTCAGGCATCCAGTAAAGTCTTCTGGCTAAGATCCAATATCTATTGATGACAACCTAACATTTTGTTAGGAGATATTTAATGCTGAGCTTTTAAATTAAGAACAAAAATGCTATAATTTCATCCATTATTTTATCTTTGTTTTCTCTGCCTCTACTTTACCCCATTTTGCTCCATAAATGTAAAGAGAATTTTCCAGAAAGGAAAAAATATATACATTCTGAAATCTTACACTATTACTATTTAAATTTTGACTCTGATTTAACCTTAGATAACACAGGTGGAAAGAGTTGGGTCAGAAAGGTTCAAGTTGCCATTTAAAAATATATAACTCAATTAGGCCTGTGCAAAAATTGACAAGCATCAAGATTTATTTATGAAATATTATTATCTGAAAACTTTTAAAAATATGTTAAATTACCAAACTAAAAATAGGGATCAGTTTAGAATATTTTTAAGTTAAATTTCTTCCAGTCTTACGATTAAACTTAGAAATCTTTTCTTCACAATCAAAAAAATAGTTTATATGTTAAACAATGAATGTTAAAGAAAGAGAAATTTTAATAGAGAAAAAATAAAATAGGTGTTCATATTGTTTCTTTAATGATTGAAATCTTTAAAATTGAGTAGATTTCCAATTTTTTTTAACAAAAAAAAGCAGTAGTAGATGCACAGAATTTTGAGCAAGCCAAAGTAAGTAACAAAATGAAAAAAATATGGGAAGCTTTGCTTTAGCCTGAAGAAACTCCCACTGAGAAGAGCAATGTTGAAGCCTGCTAGAATTGAAACACCTGTTTCATTCAGAAATTTGGCCGTCTAACTGCATTCAGTACTCTTGCATTTACAGCATCACAAAGAACCAATCTTAAGTCTTTGCCACTCAATGTTCAAACATGATTATATTGATATTTTCCTCTTCTGTTATTTGAGCCTTCTCTCCTTGATTCAGAATGTTCCCTAATCCTGCTTGCCTTAGTTTTAACTCTCCTAACTCATTAATTTCTAAGGTTTGTTCAATTGCAGACACACTGCACTACCTCAGATATCTGGTGTGGGTTTATGTCTAATGGGGTCATTAACAACCAGTGCTCACAGAGTTTTTCCAGAAGCACGAACTGGTCGATATAGATAAGTCTCTGCGTCTTTGGAAGCAGTGACTATAGAGTGAAATGAAGAAGAATATGAACTGGGTAATAATATTATAAAAGTTATCAATTCTACAAAGAATCTCTATGGAAGAGGGGTTTCAAATTCTGTGGAATCTCACATATGCACTGTAGATAGCCAATATCCTATTAATTAAAAATATTTAAACAGATAATGCTCCTCATGTTTGTAATATAAATGGGCAAACTATTTTTTTCAGGGCCTGGGCCTATCCTACCTAGTACAAATCTTCTTACCTGATTCATCATCCTATTTAATCACAAAATGTATTTTAGAATACTTACAGAAAATTACTTAGGCTTAACTTAACCAAACATAACATATATGAGAAAAAAATACATCTTTTGTGTTAATTTATGTGTTTCTAATATGTTAGACCACCTCAGAAGCAGAGATGAACACATTTAAATGCCTGGCCACTAAAACTAATTGTAAGAACTAGGAGAAATTGTAAATTCTCTCAGACTAACTTTGAAAAGAGGATCCAAAAAATCCCAAACCAGTTGCCATCGAGTCAGCAACAACTCTTGGTGACCCCATGTGTGTCAGAGTAGAACTGTGCTCCATAGGGTACTAAGTGGCTGATTTTTTGGAAGTAAATCACCAGGCCTTTCTTTCAAGGCACCTCTGGGTGGACTCTAACCTCTATTCTTTAAATTTACAGCCAAGCTCCTTAACCCTTTGCACCAACCAGGGTTAAATAGACAACTTTTTCTTAGGATGGAATAAACATTCACTTGTTAATATAACCAAGTAAGGCCTTCTTTCCATTTATGCCTCTTCTAACAAGCTACACACTAGTTTATAGCCACATGGGGCACACTTACACGTTTTCTACCAAATGTTGCCAACATAATAAATTTGGATTACCAATAACTTTGATAAAGCAGGTAAGAGAATCTTGTTAAGAATTATATTTCTTTTTGTGCTTCTAACTCATTAGTATATTATAATCTTCTAAAATCATATTATACAATATTTTAGTAAAAATAGTGAATAACAAAGCTAATGAAATAGCTTCAAACTAGTATAGAGAATATTTTCAGATATACAGATATAGTTTCTTTTCATGCTCTTGTTATTTTTTTTTTTGGCATTTTCAGTCCTTTGTTTAAATCTAGGTAACCATTGATTTTGTAAAGTGTGCCTTTCCATTAATCTATATTGTGTCTAAAATCTTCATTAGCTTACAATGAAAAGTAGAAAAAAATAATTTGATGTCTGACAACTATTATGTTGTGTCAATAGTAATGAGTTGGCTGCTTATTAATTTGTATTCCTTTCAATAAATCAAAGCTCCATTCTGCTATAACATTAATCATGTCATTATTCTGTTTATTCCAAATTTTTCCTTGATCACAACTCCACCAAATCAAGAGGAAAATGGGTGTTCTGACATTTTCTTTTTACCACCACTGCTGCCACCAACACATTTTTCATTAGTAATAGTACAATTTTTATCTTAAGTCACATTTGCCATACTAGTTAAGTACTAAATGGAGTCACATGAAAGAAAAAAGAAATAAAAACACTCTAAATTACTTCATGGGGACAGTAATGGCCCTCTAATTATTATGCCTTTCAGATATGGAATAATATACCAGGTACACTCAAGCAAAGCAAGCATTTTATTTGAAAGATTCACATTTTCTGAAGTGGTCAGACTCAAGGAAAACCAAGCACACACGTGATAGAAGTCTTTTTTTCAAAGTACATTTCTGTGATTTTTCTCTTTTAAAAAGAAAAATGGTCAAATATTAGATGCCACTACAATATCAAAACCAGTGGAGAATGTTTATTTTTTAATACATTAAAAGCCTTACACTGGAGAAAAGAACTAGATGATTGTACTTATAGTTAGCATACAAAAGGTTAGCATAGAAAGCACCCCATCCAAAATGCCAAGAAAAAGATGTTCTGCACTACAATTATATTATTTAATCACCTGAATATTGTATTACAGTTTTTAAAAGTGCACATTTATATAAAGCACAAGGTATGTGAGATAATTTACCAACAAAAGAAACAAATTGATATCCCTTGGAGTCAGGTTATTCATCACAGGGAGTCTACAAATGCTTAGTTAGTCTCTAATCTATTCAAGAAACAATCACTTAACATTTTTATTAACGTATATACTGTGCTCCCCGACAACACAATAGCAGGGTAGCATAATTATCTCCACCCTTTGAAAAAATAGGTAGAGACTTTTATGATAAAATGTATGTAACCCATATATAATACATTAAGGTCGGACACAATTGTTTATTCTTCTTTCATAATTGTGTTCTTTTCTAAAACTACTTCTTCCTAATCTTAAAAAAAAAAAACCACACAATTTTGCTATAATTTTACTAAGGTGTTTTTACTCTAAAACAGTAGTAGAATTGTCTGGGCAGTTGGATTCCAACAGCAAATTACTAGTCAGGTCTTTCATTGTGAGCCTGCGGCAAAATTTCTCATGAGCAGTATTTTTTTTTCCACTGGGACAGGTTACATGGAAACTGTAGGGAACACTGTACTGTGCTTGAGGAGACTTGAATTTAAATCCTAGTTCTAGCACCAAGCCCCTGTGGGACACTGAACAGTTGTTTATTCTGGGCGGCCATTTTTCTTAGCCATGGAAAGAACAGAGTACTTTAAACAATCACCACAGACCACTGTGGACTAAACTTCTGAATCAGCAATTTCTTTTGAAAACTGGTATCAGAGCAAGCTTTTTATCTTAATTGAATTTTTAAAAAAAAAAACAGGAAGATGAATGATATATAAAGGATTTTTAACTAATGTTTAAAATGTGACTTGTTTATTGTGCCTTTTCTTTTTAGGTTTAGATTGAGGGGTTTAATGTGCTGTTTATTCCTGGGAAGAAGGGCTAGGCACCTAACATTGTCCCTAATACAATGTCCCTAACATTGCAAAGTCTTCACAAAGGCAATACTTTACTACTGAGCCTGGTAAATCACCCTTTGTCAATCAAGGGGGGAAAACGCATTGATTAATGTAATAAAAGCTTTATTTAAGAATTACATGACAACTTGGTAAAGTTACCACACATCATTGAAATAGGTAAATTTTATGATATGTAAATTATCCCTCAATAAAGAAAAATGACAATAAAGATGAATTTTACAAAACAATAATGTGACACTCACTCTTCCTTATAGTGTCTCATATATGTAACAGAATTAAAAAAGTATTCAATAAATTAATGAACAAGGAGTTCATATTCCCTATAGTAAATTCTCAGTTTGAAATGGAAATGTTCTAAACTCTAATATCACTGTCTATCTAAACTCCCCCTTCCATGCATGATTGGCTGCATAAAAGTAATAATTTAGTTTTCTTTTTTTAAATTCCTGGCAGCTGAGATCATTCCCATGCTACATTAAAATTCCCTAGTGCTCAGGAAGGAAACCCTGGTTGCATAGTGGTTATAGAGCTACAGCTGCTAACCAACAGGTTGGCATTTCAAATCCACCAGGCTCTCCTTGGAAACTCTTTGGGGCAGTTCTGCTCTGTCCTATAGGGTCACTATGAGTTGGAATCAATTCAACGACAACAGGTTCGGTTACAGTTAGTGCTCAGGACACGTGGCTCTGCCCCTCTCATATCAGGTCTTTTACACTAGCTGGTTCATCTGCCAGGGCTGCCTTCTCCCACCCTCATGCCTTGTTGGCACCACATATTTGTCAAATCTGAGGTCAAAGGTCACTTCTTTACAGAGGACTTCCCTGAGCGACAGAATAGAAGTTTACCTGCTACATACTTTTATGGCTCTTTAAAATTTACTCTATAACTTCTTGATGTTTACAATGAAATATTTAGGTGTGAGATTGTTTGATTTATGTTTGTTTCTCCACTTTCCTATAAACTTCCTGGGGGCAGAGCCCGTATATGGTTTTCAACAATTGTACCTGACACACAGTAGGAACCCAACAAATATTTGTGAATTAATGAACCAATGAATTAATAACTTTAGCAAGTTCTCATTGAAAGTTTCTTTTCTCTTGACTTCCAAAATGTCAAACTTCCCTCGTTTTTCTCCTACCTCTTTGGCTCCTTCTTCCACAGTTCCCAATTGTCTATAGAATAATATTATTTAAATGATCTCCATGACTGGGCTTATTTCTACCTTCTAGCCCACTCTCTTGCCACTTCTTCAGTCTAACTCTACTCTGTCACAGAAGGCTTGAGATGAGATTGCTGAAACCAGAGCAGACATGCAAGCCACATGAATCTTGAGGCTTTGGAGAATGAACTGCAGAACTTCACAAATGGCCTGTAACAATGTACCAATCCTTTATATAAGAAACATGAACCCTGAAATGTGTTTAGGAGCATTGCTTTTGCCTAACTGCTGGTAAGAACAGAATTGTGCCGTATGAAGTCTTGTACTTAGAAGAGTAAAATACAATAATAATGAAATCAATCTTTAGAATGTTTACGCGTTTTGTTTTATGACGTTATTATAATTTTTTACAATAGTCAGAGGGTAAGCTATTAAAATTACCACTATATTTTTGATACTTTTTTCCTACTGTCTCTGAGCCTTTCAAAAGCAACTTCTGTTCCCATAAACAGAACAGTCTCTGAACTGCACACATACCCAACCACTTTACAAACATAAATCATATTTTCACCAAAATACCAGTAATTTTTAAAGCTAGTAACGAATGCTTCTACTACAAATGACCTGTATCTGTAACATTCCAAGAGATTACAAACATACCTGATCAAAGTTCTAGCATACAGCTTCGAAAAACACATACACTTGAAAACCTGCAATATCTTGAAGAATTAAAGCAAGTTACCAAAACCAACTAAACCCACTGCCATCGAGTCAATTTTGACTTATAGCAACCCTACAGGACAGAGTAGAACTGCCCCATGGAATTTCCAAGGAATGGCTGGTGGATTCGAAATGCCGACCTTTTGGTTAAGAGCCAAGCTCTTGACCACTGCACCAGGGCTCCTCAAGTAGGTTAATCACCGTTTAATGTCTGTAAGTAGATAATAGTGAAACTCTTACTTATAGATATCTACAATCTTAGTATATTCTATTTCCTTTAGATTTCTCACATTTTAAAATACCTTCATATTTTTAAAAAATGTTTCCTTTACTGACATGTTTAAGAACATATTTAGTTGTTTACAATCAAGCACAATGGAAAATCAGTAAAGACTTACTGCTGAGAAGTATAGAAATTCTTAACTTTGATATTGAAATTCCAAATGAATATTCATGTGTTCATGTTAAGTAAAAAAAATCAAATACAATTTTATTGTGCATCTATTTTTTTATTTAGATGTCAAAAGTTCTTTCATTTCCATTAATCATAAAATTTTATGTGTGCTTACGTGTGGATAAAACTTAGAAAAATCACCATAATGTATTTACTTCTTCTGTTATCCTTCTTTGGAGCCCTGGTGGTGCAGTGATTAAGAGCTCCGGTGAGCTGCCAAACAAAAAAGGTCGGCAGTTGAATCCACCAGCCGCTGCTTGGGAAGCCAACGGAGAAGTTCTACTTTGTCCTATAGGGTCGCTATGAGTCGGAATCCCCTCGACTGCAATTTTTTTTTTTTATCCTTCTTTAAACTTATAAACTCTTCAAATTTAGCAACTTTCAAGAGTTTTGTCTTCTTGTTGCAAAGAATTAAGCCAAGTTTTTGAATATAATCAACCATATCATCTATGCTTCATGAAGATCTAAAACACCCTTGTTAAATATAATTATAAAGGTGTTTGCTTTTGTTTTTGTAACCAGTGAAGCCTTCAAGTACTTAGTCTTTCTTAAACTCATAAATTTAAGTCCAATCAGTTGGGATTTGTATATTATTTCCATACAATTTACAGAACTTCAATGAAAAATTTAAGAGGGAAGATTCAATCAGTTTCAAGTATTTATGTACTCAGTCTGTGCTATCTCTCACTTGTGCTTCAATTCCAAAAACATAAACAGCACCAGTTTCAATTTTCAAAGGAATATGAAGAGGTAAAAATTTTCCCCAAGCAAAATGACGGGGCCACATTACAAACAGCTTGCAATCTATTAAGCTCACACAGAGTGTGAATGGTGAATGTACACAATTTACTTTCTGATGATCATATAATAGTCTGCAAAATACTTTGTGATATTTACCTGCTGAAAACAATATTTTCCTTTTGAAAGTCTTTTTTTTTTTTAATCTAAATAAAGTCTTATTCCATGAGAGACCTATCTTCAAACCCCATCCCAACAGAGGCCCAGCAGATGTCTGTTTATATTACTTCTGGGATCTATGACAACAAGATGCCCAGCTGAGCCCCGAGCATTTTACAAGTGCTCCAAAACCAGGAGGTTGGCATATCAAACATCTACATATTAATTGTGACATTAATCTCCAATCTTCAGCTGCCTAAGAATATTAGAGCTGTACTGGAAACACGCTTCAGTTTTAAATCACTTCATCAAGTAACTCCTGTAATGCCATATTTTATTACTATTCCAACAAGGAATGGCAAGAAGCAAGAAAAGTATAGCTGAGTATGAATTTTGAAAGAAAAACCCTCTGTTCAGACATACAAGTTCTATAAGAAGAAAATGATAGACTGTGCTACCTAGAATT